TCCCGGCCAAATCCCCCCTGCCGCCCCCCGCCTCCCCTGCGCTCCGTTTGGGCATCTCCAGAGGGGATGGGAGAGGGGAGTGGGGGAATGTTTGCAGTGAAGTCATACAGAGGATGCTGCGAAAAAATTAAATAAATAAAGCGCACAGCTAAATAAAAATAAAGGGGTCTGTCCGAGCGTGTGTTGCAGAGCTAATTCCTAAGACAGCACCGAAGCAAATCGGCAAAGCCCAGGCTGTTTAAATCTCCGCTGATGGTTTGACAGCGGTGAAGTTTCCATCTTATGCAGAGAACGGCATTAGCATCACACGCGGCGCTGGGATCGCGCTGTTCCGAAGGCACTATCTCGGGCTGTGACGGCCACTCCTGGCCTTCCATGAATACCAAACACCTGCCCAGGGCTCCGTGTTCCCCCCCGGACACTTCGGAGCCATCCGAGCGCTCCATTCCCATCCTGCCGCCCAAAGCTGCGCAATAACAACCCGGACAGCAAAGACAGCACCAGCACCGCTCTGCTTTGCTTCCACGGGGTTGGAGCCATCAGAACAAACCCAAAATAACAAGAAATGGGGCGTTTTCTGCCGAGCATGGATTTCTGCAGTGAAAACCCCCGGTTTGCACGGTGCCCGGCCGGAGCCTGCCCCTGCGAGGTTACTCCAGACCAAATCCCAGCAGAGCTCAACGCAGCGCAAGTGACTCATTACAGCCCTAAAAATAACAACGGAGAAATTTCCAACTAAAACGTTGCCTAATTAACCATGAATACTGAGAAGTGTGAGAGGGGAGGGAGGAAAAAAAAAAAAAGAAAAAAAAAGAAAAGCAATCCCTGAGTTGTTGTTGTGGTGTTTGGAAGCAAATTTATTACTATTTTCTTGCTGGATGCACTCAATTATATAGGCAGAATATTTCCATCTCCATACTGTATTATAGCAAACCCACCTAGAAACAATAGAGCAAATGTCCTTTCGTGGCTGTATAGAATGTATTTATCTTTTCCAAGTAAAGCTGAATGACTTTGACCCAGACAGAAAGCTCCAAAGTACTTTTCATGCCCCCTTTGTATAGGGGACTATACATAATTCATCCCCAAACCACAATTCAGATTATTTCATGGTGCTTTTAACAAAAATGACAGAAACCCGAGGCACTGACTTTTCTACCAAATCCTCTTGCAAACAGTTTTCAGGAGTCCTAGTATGAAAACCTACATGTCTGTAATTTTTCTATGAACTGGTAAAACAATCTCTGTGTTCCCATTTATATTTCAAAGAGCAGTTTAAATATACAGCTCAGAAACCAGGACTCACTTCCATCTCTTTCTCAGCCCTTAGATAATTGGCTTTGTGACAAGACAGTGAAACTTTGGCCATGTTTTGTTCCAAAGCTCTGCAGATCTCACTTTTCACATTTAAGGATCCACACTGGATCTAACACAGGGCTCTTTCTTTTCCCCTCCAAGCCAGCTGGGTCCCTCATCCTAAAAGAAAGCAGAAGTATCCTGACTAAGCAGCCCATTATTTCTACCAAATGTGCTGAAGTTCCCTTTTTCTGGCTTTGCCAGTCCATCCTAACCTCACAGCAGTTCCTCCAGAAGCCCTGGGGCTTTCTGAAATCATGAACTTCACTGACCCACAGGAAACCCCCAGGACGTGCTTGAACATAGCCTGGATGCAAAGGCTAAGACACATTTTCAGTTCTGGAAGATCCTTAACCTCACAAGTCACTCAAAAATCCCTTTCCTTCAAACCTGAAGGAATACTGTTTCTACCTGTTGACAATCCCCTGAAAGTTTTATGGGGAAAATGCCAAAGTCATCTGAGACCTTCTGAAATTTTATACCTCTTTACCTTCTCCCAAATTCCCATACTGGCAACAGCTCCTGCTGAATGGAATGGGTCAGATGGAGCAGCTTTGATCAAGGACTGACCTGCCATATTCCTTCCCTGTTAATCCCACTGACCTCAGGGGAAATTACAGCAGGAATTAACCAGCTCCAGAGTCACACCAATCTCTGCCGTGAGTCTGATAAAACCTCAGAAGGAGAGCAGCATTTATCATATAAACCTTAGAATCAAAATGCCCCTCCCTATTTTTAAAGAGAAAATGATATTTAATAGTTTAATTAAGCAGTTTAAGGCTGAGACAAAAATAAATGAAAAATTCCAATTTGAAGTCTACCATGGCTTCTTTAGCTTCTTTGTTGTTGACAAGCAATGCAAATTCACCTTTCTTTGGGCTTTTAGTGAAAAGTAAAAGACATGACATACCATGAGTTGCATTGTCTGAACAATCAAGCTAAGCACAGAACACAATGGTAGCACTGCTAATTATTCCTCCTTCTGCTCATTTAGAGCCTAACCTTAACATTACTTTGCAATGCCATTTTTACTGAAGGGAATTGCTCTTCAGCTGAATTCCTGTCCAACATGCTGGCACAAATTGTCTTTGCAAGGAAACTGCACTTCTGCCTTTGTGATCCAACACTCTTGAAAGGTTTTAACTAATTCATTACAGTCATAGAGAATGATGTAGAAATAGTAGATTTTCTTTTTCAAGCTCCATTTAAGAATAGAAACACCATTAATTAAAAGACATTTTTGAAACAGCATTCCTTATCTCTTCTTACCACAACCAGCACCCAAGAACAATGTGAACTGAGAGACATCTCCTTTCTTTTTTTTTTCCCAGCATTTTTTCTGCTACTCTTCTCATAAAAAAAAAAGTGAATTCAAATATTTCGCATTACAGCAATGGGAGAGACATTTAGCACAGGGAATCCACAAGGAATGCTGAACTGCAGCAACCACCAGTGTTTGGAGGTACAATATTTTCCTTCTCTTGGGCACTGCAAAGTCCCAGTTTCCCACTGGAACAGGAACCAGTCTAAGGTATTCAGAATAGTTTCGTATTTAATCCACCAGGTTTGAACAGATATATCCCAAATTACACACAAAAAATCTTCTGCTTGCAGAACCACTAAAACAATTGAGAGAATCTGAACTGTTTGGTTCCTACCTTCACTGGGGACTATTTAGGCAATTTGGTTTTCTATTTCTCTAATGGAAAATCTTTCCTCTTAAAACCAATGTATTGAGCCAGCCTCTGGAGGAGGGAACATATCTGGGAGGAAAGTTTGGTTCTAGAAGGTTTTTATAACCTGACCAGCAACTCACTGAAACACTGAAGGAAGAGACCTTTGGAGGTCACCTGGCCCAGATTTCTGTCTAAGCAAGACAACCTCCACAGGTCATTTCCAGCAGCAGGGTGTTTTGCCAGGACATTCTTTTCTTCAAGCCAAGTCACCTAGGCATGTCAGAAAATCTGAACAGGGGTTTTGGGTATAGAATCCCTCAATCAATCCTGGCCAGTGAGAAAGAGATTCAGTTAGAAATCCCAAGCTTTTAAATCTTAAATGAGACATTTTGGCTTAGCTCCATTTCTTGGAGGACAAAAAAACCTTCAGTGTTTTGTGTTCATTCTGATAAGATAAAGAATAATTTTGAATGTACCAAAGTTGCTGCCAAACCAAGCTGTTATCCTATGGACAATGTGGCTCCATGCAATTTTAGCAAGTAATTAAAAGAAGGCCAGTGGGTCTACATACAGTTTTGATGTTGAAAAACCCATTAAAGCATGAAATCTGCAGATCTTTCAACAAATGAATAATTGTATGCACAGCCTGTCCGCATACAGTAGCACTTTCATGGCAACAGCTCCAGAGCTTTTCATTCCACACATTTTTAGACTATTGAAGCCTTGGTGTTGTGATAATGATACAATTCACAGACAGCAGCCAAGTGCTTGGTGAAACAATTTCGAGTGGGACCTTTAAGCCAGTGGATTTGTAGTTTCAGGGCCAGTGCAGGTACCAAACATGGCTCAGGTGAGGGCTGCACTGGCAGGGCCTTATCTCTAAAAAGAACTGAAGCACACAACCATGCCAATTTACACTGCTGGGAGAGAGTTCCTCAGGGAAGGGCAACTATGGCATTTAGTGTACAAAATTCTCTTGGAGATTTCAATAGTTTTCTCTTGGGCATACTTCTTTTTGCCGGCAGGAATTTACTGCATGACCTAGTTTTCCTTTCAGAGAGGAGCAGCCACACACACCAAAAAAAAACCCCAAAAACCTAAAAACTCTCTAGGAAACACATGGTTACACAAAGCCAGTGAAGGCATGAAAGGAATTGATGCCAAGCAGAGGAGAAAGGACAGAATCACCTTTCAGAACTGGAATCAACCAAGAACCTATAGAGAAGAGAGCTGAATAATCTCTTCTTACTCCAAACTTCTCTTGTTTGACAAGTGCCCAACATCTATCATTTTGCAGTGAACTCTTTGCAGTGTGTATCAGCAAACTAAAGAGCATCCTGGTCCTTGACTGAACCTCAGGATTCAGTCCCAGTGATTTCATCACAGAAATTGCAAGTTTTGAGAGACCCATCTAAGCCGTAGAGAAACCCAGAGCTCACAGCATTTCTTTCCAAACACATCCTTTAAGGAAAACAGTTTTTATCCTGGTGTCTAAAGCCTTCTGGAATTCTGAGATATTCACTGTTCTGAAAGAGTACTGAAAAAAACAACCATCTCACAAAACAGCCAATTGCAGGAGTAAAATAACAAAGCCTCCTCACTTCTCCCACCCCCATTTTAAACTCCTGCGTGCTCTACCCACCCTCAACAATAAATTGTAGACAAGGCAGGATCACAGGACAGATATTTGGCAGCACAGCAACACTATATTTACTTCAGATCCTCAAGAACTGGGAGGCAGAATGAGCAGATGTATGAACTGTGGATGGAACCTCGTTTTCCTCACCTTTCTTTCTCCACCATGGCCCTTCCTGGATGGAGTAGGACAGTTCTTTGAACTCAATGTTCACAGCTGGCCTGCGGGGCAGGTAGGAGAACCTGTGAGCTTCTGTCAGAGCATTGTCCACTTTTTTTAAGTGTCCATTGATGAGGTGGATGTCCTGGGTGTCGGTGCCGTTGGAGACCACCTCGTCCACAGAAACACACACAGACTTGGGCTCGGCCATGGTGCAACCAGAGCTGCTGCCACCCTGCACGGAAATGGAGAAAGTTCACAGACTTTTGTTTGGGAACACGTTTCAAAACCTTCTGCGCCAGAACTGTGCTTTAAATAGCACAAAAATCCAGCTGTACTGCACTGAAAGGTGAAAGAGGAGTAAAATAAATCAAGCTTTTGTTGGTTCTTTTGCCTGAGCCTTGACAGAAGAGGTAAAAGAGCTCTTGCAGCACATACAGTTCCTTTAGCACTAGTTTTTCTTTCAGATCTTGCACCAGATTAATACATTTATAAGTTCAGTCCCCATTGTATTTGGTTTCTCATGCACTCAAGGAATTTGGTTCTAGTTACTCTGATTCCAGGACTTGGGACAGAGCTGAAGGGGGAAGGGATCTGGCTGAACAATTATTTGTGCAGATATTTCAAAAGACAGCCACTCAAAATGCCAAAGAGCTCTTGCTCCTCTGGATCAGCCTATGCTTCTGTCAAGGTGAAATTACATTTCTGAGAATTTTCATATGTACTATTTCATGCTTTATTTTCTCCTGCACTGATAGTTCTGGAGACTTTGCAACCTGGGCTGACAGTACAAGGTTTTTCTGGAGGTCTTCTAGGAAAGCACAATGCTTTGCACCCAAAATCCTTGACTGCTTTCCATGCTTGATAGTGATAACTAATGGAAATCTTATCAGCTACATGAGCACACAAACTCTGCTCCAGTTCTTGCACCACTGACACTGTAAGGTCAATGTCCTGTGCTCACAGCCATTCCTCTTGCCTATCACAGCACTCTGTGCAATTCCACTTGGCACTTTTTGGACTAAACCTCCTTCCCCTCCCCTCCAGGCCATGACAATGGCCTTCCACCCATCTTTCTCTCTTTTTTTTAATTATACCTACATAATTTGGATTTTTTCGGATTCCTTTTACCACCACAGGTGCCTTGCACTAATATGAGCAGGATGTGTGTAAGCTCAAGAGAAAAATAGCCATGAATTTTCTTCAGCTAAACAGAATTTTGAACAGTTCTGTTTAAAGGCTGTTCACTGTCATCTGTTGTTTGGTGGATGTCACAAGCAGAGCCAAACATCTGCACAGTTGCCTATTAGGAAATTTAGTATTTTTGATGCAGATTTGTATTGGAAATGACTCCTGTAGATGGCTGATGTGCCAGGCCTTCCATGCTGACCCATAATACAAAGTTATCCCCTGTAAAGCAGATGTGCTGCACTACTTTTCAGTCCATGAACACACACAGAGCTGCAGATCTTGCCACTGTTTCCCTATATTTGTGTAATTCAGCTAAAAAGTGACACTGCCTCCTCCTGCCTGTGCTACTTCCATTTCCCTCTCATGGTTCCCGGTATTCCCATCTTTGCTGTAAGAGCAGCCCAGCTCAGATCAGTCACTTGTCATGAATGCTGACAAAAACATTTTAAAAACCTCCAGTCCTAAATAATCACTGATGAAAAAAAAGTACTCCTGCTTAACCACTCCATAGCTGGCATCTTCACATTCTTCACACACAAGCCCCAAGTTCTGGAAGAAAATAATCAGCTCTGCTCACCACATTTTCTCCAGAAAGAGATTTTAATCGTGCTCTCACCTTACTTAGAGGTCAGGTATCCACTAACACTTACTGTCAAATTCTTAAATAGTTCACTGCCATTGTATGTAATTTGAACATAACAAGAGTAATGTGAAACATCTTAGAGCTCAACAATCAAAGATGGGGAACTTCCCTAGAAACTAAGAGAAGGCGAGTTAACAATATTCTTCCCTGAATGTTTTCAAGGCTCACTCTGGCACTCATAATCTCTTTTGTTCTGAGGAACCACTGGGCACTTTTACAGAATCTCAGGGAATGTCTGAAAATGAACTCTGAATGAGCAGGTCACCTTGATTATCTAGGTGACAGTCAGAGCTTCTCCAGTTTAGATCGATTCCAAAAGAAACATCCTTTGGACAAGATTTGCCTCTGACTACTCAATCATCCAAGAGTATGAAGCCAAAGATTTTTGTCACTGGGACATTAAACAATTTCAGTCACTGTGTGGACCGAGCTGCCTCTTCTCACACCTTCCCCCTCCAGGGACCACCCGCTATGGGTGAGGATCCACCGAGCAACCGGGATGATCTAAACGCCTCCTGGTATTGGGATCGCTTGTAAAAAGCTGGGCAATCCCGTGGCTACGACAGGCACAGAGGCACAGACACACCTGAGCCCCCTCTGCACGCCCCAACACCTGCAGCACCCTCTCCTCGGCGCTGCCACCCCCAGCGATGCCCCAGCCCC